TGGTGATGGCTTGGCTGAGGGAGGATGAACAGCAATAAATGATAGTGTCATCTGCATAATAATGGTGGGAGGCGTTTGACAGATCACTGCATAGATCGTTGATATATAAGGAGAAAAGAATGGGACCCAAGACAGAACCCTGTGGCACCCCTTTCACAACATCTAGGAACGTAGAGGAGGATCCGGCTACATGGACAGACTGTGTTCTGTCAGTTAGATAGTTGGTGAACCAGGAGACTGCTAGTTTTGATAGACCAGAGTGTTTCAGGATGTTAGTCAATAGTGTGTGATCAACTGTATCAAATGCCTTGGATAGGTCTATAAATAGGGCAACACAGTATTGTTTGCTGTCCAGGGCATGTATGATGTCATTTAATACTTAGAACTGTAGTTACGGTACTGTGCTGTTTTCTGAATCCTGACTGGAATTGTGATAAAATATTATTTGATTGTAGAAAAACAGTTAGCTGATCACAGACAAGTCTTTCGAACAGTTTAGCAAGAATACATAATTTAGAAATTGGTCTGTAGTTGTTGACATTAGTTGGTTCACCCCCTTTTAGCAGAGGGAGAACATGAGCCGATTTCCAGATTTTGGGTATTGTTTTTGTATTTAGACTGAGATTGAAAATACATGAAAGTGGTTCAGCAATGAAATCTGCAGCTAGTTTTAGGAAAAGTGGTTCTATGTTGTCAGGTCCTGCTGCTTTGCGTGTGTCAAGAGTTTTTAGAGCATTTAGAACCTCACTGGGAGATATTGATACAAAGTCAAATCGGTTTGTGACCTGTTTGTCTAGCACATGCGGAGTTGGGGGTGGATTTTCATCAGTTTGGTCAGCAGATAACATTTCAGGATGCGTAAATTCGAACATGGAGCCAGAGGATATAAAGTGTTCATTAAAACAGTTTAGAATTGATAATTTGTCTGACAGAATACCTGAGCTGGTCATAATGGAGCTGGGTAAATGAATGGTTGTTGTCTGACCAGAATTTGATTTTACTATTTGCCAAAACCTTTTTGGATCATTTAGATTTTTTGTGGATGCGTCCAGGTAGTAAAGGATTTTGTTGGAGGATTTTGTTGGTATAAATGAATCCACTCCTGTTAATTATTTAAATGTTCATGTTCCTAGAACAACTGGCCGAGGTGGAGGAGTAGCTTCTATTTTTCAGTCAGGATTATTGATTAATGCCAAACCAGTTATTAGTTATGATTCTTTTGAATCACTGTCCCTCAGTCTTTCTCATCCAAAATGGAAATCAGAAAAGCCACTTTTACTAGTTGTTATATATCGTCCACCAGGAGCTTACTCTCAGTTTTTGTCTGAATTCTCAGAATTATTAACTGACTTATTATTAAAAACTGATAAAATCATCATAATGGGTGATTTCAATATTCATGTAGATGTTGAGAGTGATAGTTTAAGCATAGCCTTTAATAATTTAATAGACTCATTTGGTTTTACCCAAAACGTCCGCACATCTACTCATTCTTATCATCACACTCTTGATTTAGTTCTGACCTATGGTGTAGAGATTAAGGACTTGGTAATAGTTCATCAAAATCCTGTTCTGTCCGACCATTTTTTAATAACCTTTGAGTTTATATTAAATGACTACACAGTCACTGAGAGTAAATTTCATCTCAGCAGGTGCTTATCAGAAAATGCTGTAACCAAATTGAATCAATCTCTTCCATCAATGTTTCCTCTGTCTTGCAGAGTAATGCATCAGAGAACAGAGACTTAGATCATCTAGTTGATCATCTTACAACTTCAATGCAAACTTCACTTGATAAAATTGCTCCACTGAAAAAGAAAGTAATCAATCAGAGGAAACTGGCTCCTTGGTTCAATTCTGAGTTACGAACTTTAAAGCAGCATCTAGAAACCAGGAGAGAAAATGGCGCTCTACTAATGTTGAAGAATTTTATTTAACTTGGAAAGATAGTCTGCTAACATATAAAAAAGCTCTCCGTAAAGCTCGAACTTTATTTTACTCATCTTTAAAAGATGAGAATAAAAATAACCCTAGGTTTCTGTTTAGTACTATTGCTAGACTAATTAAAAGTCCCATCTCTGTTGAACCATGTATCCCTACAACTATAAGTAGTGATGACTTCATGAGATTCTTTATAAATAAAATTATTTCAATTAGAGAGAAAATTCAAACCATCCTTCCTTCTACTCTCTCTAGTCCCCTGTCAAATGAGGCAACTTTAAAAATTTCACTAGAGCCTGATTTATGTTTGGTAAGTGTTTGTCCTGTTGAGCTCTGAATTGTCAAAAATAATAACCTCATCCAAACCATCCACATGCCTGCTAGATCCCATCCCAACCAGACTGTTTAAAAAGGTTTTTCCCCTAATTAATGTCCACATTTTGGATCTACTTAATTTGTCTTTAATGGATGGTTATGTACCACAGAGCTTTAAGGTTACTGTAATTAAACCTTTACTTAAGAAGTCTGACCTTGATTCAGAAATTCTGACCAACTATAGACCTATATCTAATCTAACTTTCATCTCAAATTTCTAGAGAAAATAGTTGCAGGTCAGTTGTGTGAACATCATATGGCGGGAGGGCCAGAACCTCCCGCCATAAGAACAGTTTCTTCCCCTCTGCTGTTAAACTCCTGAACACTCATAATGCTACCTCATAATTTCTGCTTTGGTCACATTACATCTGTTTTATAATTGAATACTCCATCTGTACTGTTTTCTAAGCTTTTTTATTGCTTTCTATTGTATGGGTGTACATATGGTTATGTTATGTTTTTAATTTTACTTTATTTGTGGGTGTACACAGGTCTTATGTCTTATGTAATGTTCTCATTTTTACTTAACTTTTATTTTTACTTAATTTTTACTTAATTTTTACTTTATTTTACTTTATTACTATTCACACCTTATGTCGAAGCAAATTCCTAGTTTGTGAACCTCGTTCATTGACATGGCAATAATAAACTGATTCTGATTCTGATCTACAAAGAAATAATCTGTTTGAAGGGCAGCACGGTGGCGCAACTGGTAGAGCTGCTGCCTCTCAGCGAGCAGGTCCCTGGTTCAAACCCCGGTCCAGGGGCCTTCTGGGTGGAGTTTGCATGTTCTCTCCGTGCATGCGTGGGTTTTCTCCGGGTACTCCGGTTTCCTCCCACAGACCAAAAACATGCATGTTAGACTGATTGGTAACTCTAAATTGTCCCTAGGTGTGAGTGAGGGAGTGAATGGTTGTTTGTCTCGTTTGTCTCTATGTGGCCCTGTGATGGACTTGTGACCCGTCCAGGGTGTACCCCGCCCCTCGCACAGTGATTGCTGGACATGGGCACCAGCGACCCCCGTGACCCAAAATGGAATAAACGGGTAAAGATAATGGATGGATGGATGGATGGATGGATAATCTGTTTGAAGAGTTTCAGTCAGGGTTTAGAGCTCATCATAGCACATAAACAGCACTAGTAAAAGTCACTAATGATATTCTCATGGCCTCAGACAATGGACTTGTGTCTCTACTGGTCCTGTTAGACCTCAGTGCTGCATTTGATACAGTTGATCACAATATTTTACTACAGAGGCTTGAATATGATGTTGGAATTACAGGAACAGCTCTAAAATGGTTTAAATCATATCTATCTGATAGATTCCAGTTTGTAAATGTAAATAATAAATTTTCTTCATACACCAAAGTTAGTCTTGGAGTTCCTCAGGGCTCAGTGCTTGGACCAATACTCTTTACTTTATATATGCTTCCATTAGGTAAAGTTATTAAACAGCATGGGATAGGAATTAATATTTCAGTCTTTCTCCCTCCTTAGATGACATTAATCTGTCCTCCAGCTCTAATGTTAAAAATCTTGGTGTTATTTTTGATCAGGACATGTCTTTTATCCCCCGCATTAAAAACGTTACTAGAACCTCCTTCTTCCACCTGCGTAATATCACTAACATTAGAAACATCTGATCTAAAAATGATGCAGAAAAACTGGTCCATGCATTTGTCACGTCTAGACTGGACTATTGCAATGGTTTATTATCTGGGTGTCCAAATACTTCTTTAAAACGTCTTCAGTTGATCCAAAATGCTGCTGCCAGAGTCTTAACTGGAGTTACTGGGAGAGATCATATCTCTCCAGTTTTAGTTTCTCTCCATTGGCTCCCTGTCAAATCCAGAATAGAATTCAAAATCTTACTTCTAACCTACAAAGCTCTCAACAACCTGGCTCCATCTTATATTACAGATCTTGTTGTTCCATATTTTCCTAACAGATCACTTCACTCTCAGACTGCAGGTTTACTTGTGGTTCCTAGAATTTACAAAAACAGAATGGGAGGCAGATCTTTCAGTTATCAGGCTCCTCTCTTGTGGAACCAACTTCCAATCTCTGTCCGTGAGGCTGACACATTATCCAGTTTTAAGACTTTCCTTTTTGCTAAATCCTATAGTTAGGGTCAGCTTGGGTTTCCTGAGCCGTCCCTTAGTTTTGTTCCTGTAGACTTAGACTGCTGGAGGGCAAACTGACCAAAATTTTTCACTCTGCTACTGTCTTTACTTACTCTGCTCAACCTGTTTTGTGTTTGTAATTATTTTTTCTATCCATAACATGTGTTTTTTGTCTTTCAGATACACCTGGAACTATACCTGGACCTGGACCTATATCTGGACCTACCATTCTGTGTTCGTCTGTCTCTCTTTCCTGTCCTCTCAACCAGCCGGTCAAAGCAGATGACCGCTTGTCCTGAGCCTGGTTCTGCTGGAGGTTTCTTCCTGTTAAAAGGGAGTTTTTCTTTCCACTGTCTCCACTGTGCTTGCTCAGGATGGGAGACTGCAATGAAGCCTTCAACTTGTCTGCTGGATTCCTTAGATAGAGAACTTTACTAACTGGCTTTTTTATGTATGTGAATGTTTCTGTAAAGTGTCCTGAGACAACTTTGTTGTGATTTGGTGCTATAGAAGTAAACTGAATTGAACTGAACTGAACTGAACTGTTTTGTTATTCCTTAGGTACTGCTTTCCATTTGGACGACCTGAGGGCGCTTTAAAGGCAACGCTGTCTTTGCTTGAAAGGGTAAGTTAGATGTATAAACCTGACACATGCATACGTGCATTGTTTTGTCTTCTAACACTTTAGCAAACCTTTTATTCAGGTCTGTATTTTTCTGTTTTAATATTTTGTTTTTGTTAACTTTTGAATTATCTATGTAACAATGTAACATATTGGAATAAAATATGCTTAACTACAGCTGGAGATAATCACCCACTTCCCATGACTCCAAAATGAAAAAGCTAAAGTTTGTGATTACACAGTGTCATTTGTTGTTACAGCTCCACTCAGAATGTGTTTATCTTTGTATCTAAAATATTCTCCTTTGTTCTTTACTGTTTAAAGACTTTTATTTCATTATTTTAAATGCTCAGCTGACTATGGGATTTCAGTTGGTAGTTCTGGAACATTTTAGGTCTCTTATAATAATTGTGTCCATTCCTTGATAACTGCTTTTGTGTTTCCAATCAAAATTGATCAGTATGAATATATTAGTGAAAAGAGGACAGAGAGCCAACATCAAACCTGGAAATTTAGTTCTATGATATAATTACTGTCTACAAACTGTGAACATTAAGGCTAAAATGAATCCCCATTTTCTGAACCACCAAGAGTGTAACACTCCAAATTTTATGAAAATAATCCAAATTTGGCTTTGTTTTCAGATTACTTGTGAGAAAAGTCATAACATTTCAAGTAAATCATATCAGAAGAAATGTTTTTAACGCTATGCTCATTTTACTGCTCAGTGTATCCTCACAACCCTATAGTACTTTATGAGTTTTTGAAAACTAAATGGAAAAGATTTATACCTGCCAGGTCTCACATCTTATTGTCCCTCAGTCAAACACGGCTAATCATGTTGCTGTGTCCTTTGCTAAGGTTCTGATGAAAGACATCATCACCCCAGTCCCACAGGAAGAAGTCAAAGCTGTGATCAGGAAGTGTCTGGAGCAGGCAGCTGTGGTCAATTACCAGCGCCTGTCGGAATATGCAAAACTGGAAGGTAAGTGAAAGAAAATGCTATATGTTGTCATCATTGTATGCTTCCATAAAATTATAAATTAGTTCTCTGCATTTAACCCATCACACCTGAGATACATCCAGGTGGAGCAGTTGGCAGTTATGTAAACACTTGGGGAGCAGTCAGGGATTAGATGTCTTGCTCAGGGACACCACGACATGTGGGCATGACGGGGACAGCATTGGTACATTGTTTTCTTTAAACGCTCCTTTGTGTTTTTGAAACTGTAAAAATCCAACATGACATTTCTTTCTTTGGTTAACATGATATTTATAAGGGATGTGTCCATTGGCGCCAGAAGTATTTGTTATGTGTGTGTGTGTGTATGTGCGGGGTGGGGGGTCTCACTGGTGAGGGGTCTGGGGGTCCTCTCCCATAAAATTTTGAATAAAGTAGGTGCCATTTCCTGCATTCTGGTGTATTTTAACGAGTTGTTAAACATCTATGTTTACCTACATAAGTAAACAAAGTAAAATATAAGTAAATTTTAGAAAGCAACAAGAAGTAGCCCGACCAACAGTTCTCCCTGTGTGAAGAGAGCATGCTCCGCTTCTTTCACGCACCCACCCGGTCAAAAACTGCCATAACTAACATAGCGCTAAGCTAGTTTGCAACATAGAGGTGTCTCCCCCTCCTCCCCACTCCTCGTTCACAACCCCCCCCCCCGAAGAAATGAGGGACCAAGGAATCCAGATGAAAAACTGCATGCGGTGTGGTGAGATGTTGTAGGTAGCCAGGAAAACCCGGAGTGGATTTTTTAGTGGTTTGAGTATTATCCTACTAATCAAGTGGAATGGATTTGTTCATGAAGAAATACAAAAAGCGCTGGGTGAACTAATATTTCATGGTAAATGTGGGGTCCACTTTAAATGTGAGGGGAACACATCCCCTTCCCATATAATTGATGCGACACCTATGGATGTGCCAAAAGCAGTAAGAAAATTGATCGAACAAGATGTTTAAGTATGAACTGTATTTTAGCACTCAGCTGAGAACTTGAGTGTTAATATTTTAAACTAAGTATTTTCACAATGGGAGATGTCATTCAATTATTAAGTATTTCTATTGATTTTTCATTACATTGGCCAAATTAATCAAAACAAATTAGTCTTTGTATTCCAACAAAGTGATGTCAGGTCCTCTGCGCTCTGGACGATTTCTTTGTGTTGAAATGTTTTGTTTTTCATCCAAAAGACTTCATCAGTCTGAGGAGTCACAACAAACAGTTCCATAAGTGGTTTACTAACATAGTGGGCCAACGAGTTTGATGATGATAAGATGGTAACTGGGGTCCGCCCTGTCCCCCATCGACTCCTCTGAGGCACCAAAGTTAGTCATGGAGTTCCTCAAGATTCAGTGCTTGGATCAATACTCTTTACTTGTATATGCTTCCATTAGGTAATGTTATTAAACAGCATGGGATACATTTTCATTGTTATGCTGATGACACACAGTTATATTTGTCCATGAAACCCAATGAATCCAATCATCTATTTACACTACAAACATGTCTTAAAGACATAAAACCCCTAATTTTTCTGCTTTTAAACACAGACAAGACTGAGGTTTCAGTTCTATGTCGTATAGGCTTCGCCCTTTAAGGCTGTCGCTTAGTGGGTTTATCCCGTTATGCGTAGCATTTGCACTGAAAAATTTAGTCCACGCCCACCTGCTGTGTGGGCCCCACCCGGTCCGTATAAATTACGTTAAGAGCGGGAAATCGGCTCCCATTTTTTCTTCAGCGAGCTAATAGCACTGTCAGAAGAACAAAGAAGGATAATTGTGTAGATGACCAACCTTTGTTAAGGATGCTTGGCCCGGCAGTGGACCTCTGGTCGTCCGATGAGTTCTCCTCCCCGAGGAGAAGCTGACGAGCAGTCTTGTTTCAAGGTAAGCGCTGAGGAGTATTTCTCAGTGACAGGTCACTACACGCTGGACAACGCCATCTTGTATTTTTTCTCTTATCGCCGACCCTCGGAGCGAATCGGATGGTTCCTCCGGGACAGGCGGCGCTCAGCTGCAGCCCCCGCTGCTCGTTCCCTCCTGGAGAGCGTAGTGTCGGTGGAGGGGGGCTGAGTGAATGCTCACCCCATCCTACCTCGTTTCCAATCGGCGATCACACCGCTCCCGGCCGACGGCGCCCTCAGGGGTTGCCCGGCGTAACCCAGGAGGCGGCTGACATGAAAGGACCCCTTTTTTACGTTCTACGCCTTTCCCGCCAGTTCAGATGATCCGGCGGGAAGGTTGTTTACTGGGTTCCATTCCGGCTCACCGTCTTGATCCATATGGCCTCGTGTTCCCAACAGGACGTCCTATAGGCGAGGCCACAGACGGGATTTTTCCTGGTATATTGGGGGAGCCGGTCTCCACAGTCCGCACCCATCTCCAGAGCAGGGGTTCACTGAGCAGAAAGTCCCTCCGTGCCCCCTGGAGCCGAGCCTGATGGAGGCTTCATTGGAGTAAGATGTCGAGGTGGACCAGCGTCCTGTGCCTCTGGTTAGCATAACCGAGACGGTGACACCGCTCTCCAACCGAGCTCACCAGCATGTGTTCCACACGGCCGCAGCGAACAACACGTTACGCTGTTGGCATACACGTTCAGAGGTGGGAAGAGACGGTGGCCCTCTGTCCTTCGGCCCACTCCTCTCTCGTAGCAGCTGCTTGCTAACGACGCTGCTGGCCCCTGCAGTACGCTCCGTCTACAGGGCAGCTGACGTCATCCTCAACCGGTGCACCTCTTTTGCTGTCTGCCACCCCGCATCGCAGCCAGAGAACGAGGTCCCAGAGGTTCTCCTGGCTCGTCACTCCACCTTCCTCTCAGGAGAGCTGTAGGAGCTTTGCTCCTCTGCCCCAGGTGCGTGAACGCATCATGGTTCCCAGGCCTACGACATTTGTTATCAGGGCGCTCGTGGAACCTGCCGTAGAGGCCACTTCATGTCCACTGAACGACATGCTGTCTTTTCTGCAGCTGTCGAGGGACAGAAATCTGGTGTCCAGCACGACTATCGTATGCTACAACCGTGTTTTCTTCTTGTCTCAAAGTTGTCGGAGACAGAACAACCTTTAATCATCCTCTGATGGAGCATTTTGTCTCAGATTGATATAGCAGCTGTGGGCCTGTTTGTGACACGAGAAATGCTCAGTGTCAATTATGCGTTTCTCTGAGCCTACAAGACGAACCACCGCTGGGGTGGATGCATTTGTCCACAGTCCATGGCCCAAAATGCTTCTGTACGCGTTTTTTCTCCACCTCCTCTGATTTTACGGTTCTTGAACCGAGTTCAGGAGGAGGGATTGACAGCTCTCCTGGTGGCCCCGAACACGTGAACGCACCATGGGTCCCAGCCCTGCAACGTCTGCTGTCGGGGTGCCCGTGGAAACTGCCATAGAGGGAGGACGCTCTCCTCCAGGCAGGAGGAGCGACCAGGATTTACCCAGAAATAGGCCAGCAGCTGTGGGTCTGGGCGTTGAACGAATCCACTTAGAGAGGATGGGTTGCCAACAGGATGTAATGCGCACAATTCAGGTTTCACGTGTTGCATCTACCATAGCGATGTACACATCAAAGCGGACAGCTTTTCTGTGCTGGTGTACAGAGAAAGGTGTAGAGGCCACCTCATGTTCATTAGGTGGCATGCTGTTCTTTTTGCAGCAGCTGATGGACAGAAATTTGCATCCAACACATTTAAAACGTACGCTGCAGCCATCTCTTCCTGACATGAAGGTTTCTGAGACAGAACAGGTTTTAATCATCCGCTGATGAAGCGTTTTCTAAAAGGTGTACAGAGACGCAGGCCTGTCTCACACCCACTTGTTCCAGTGGGATTTAATACTAGTCCTGCAGGTCCTGATTAAAGCTTCATTTGAGTCTGTGGATCAGGTTCCACTTAAATTCTTGTCTCTTTAAACAGCCCTGCTGCTGGCTTTAACATCCGCTAAGAGAGTGAATGTTTTATCTGCCCTCTCTGTCGCTCCGTCATGTCTCAGAATTCAGGCTGACGGCAGCTCAGCTGATTTTAGGCCAACCCAGCTTTTATGCCTAAAACATCACGAGCTCTTTTAATCAAGAGCGATATCGTTGGGGGGGTCGCCCCCCCCCCCCCCCCCCCTTCACACAGATCAGAAGAAGTAGCGTCTTTTTATCTCCTCTGTCCTGTGCAGGGCGTTGACGTGTTACCTAGCGTGCACAGCTGCAATGCGTCAACATCTGTTTGTGCATTATAGAGATGCATCTGCAGGTCGCCCGTTATCCACCCAGCGCTTGTCACACTGGTTGTGTGAGGCCATTTCTGAAGCCTACAGAGCATCAGATTTAGAGCCTCCTGTCAACCTCAGGGCGCATTCGACCAGGGGTATCGCATCTTCGACTGCTTTGCATAATGGTATGTCAATGCAGGACATTTTGCACTGTGGCCGCGTGGTCAACACCCTGCTCAATAATTCGCTTTCATCTACGTGATGTGACAGCTCGTTCCATGACATATTCTGTCCTTAGTGTTTACAGAATGAATATTATTGTTTCATGGAACTCCGTTTTACTCACATCTGTCTGCATGCATTACAGTGTGAGATGTTATCAGTCACAAGTTGTGACTGTTATTTTGGTTCTATTGTCATTAATCAGTTCACGACTATTGTTACCAATCAGTTCATTTGATTAATAATCAGCTCTCCTGTTATTATTAATCTGTTCATACGGTTCAGCCGTAAACCGGTTGGTTCATGGCTCTTTTCAGCGTTTTTCCCTCCCTGTTGAAGTTTTCCGGGGCGTTCATGCATTCAGAATGCATAGTTACACAACATGCGTCTGTGCATGGCTCACATAATTACGCAATGCATAATTACGCACATGGGAGCTGAGTGACAAGACATTTTTGGGCAAGCTTCTGCTTCATACGGTGTTCAAATGGACCCAGTGAGGCGAGGACAACATCCGCTTCGCCCTTAACCCACTAAGCGACCTATACGAAATAGAACGTTGG